GTGATTAGGTGCGGAATGATAATTCCTTGCTTAGCGTGGCGTGTCGTTTGGCGTGGCATGTGTGCAAGCGCATATGATGAACTTTCGCATGCCCAAATCGGGTTTCTTCTTGGTAAAGCATCACATTGGGCCGAGAATTTATTTGAGCCGAACCGTGAATATTTTGGGCCTCAACAGTTCCACAGCTCCAATTTGGTCCACGTGTCCGACGCTTATTGGCTATTCATTTTGGTATAAACAACGATAATATACTAAACTCATATACTTTTCTATCTAATAGTTAGCATGAAACAGTATGAATTAACTGACTCGCCAATAACAAAATTTTGTCTTCTAACAATTACGGAGGTTATTTTTGAAAATCTTGATATATTTTAGTCAACTTCATCAACAATCAACCTTTTGTCTTTTTTTTTTTCCCACACCCCCAACTACCTGATAAACACCAATGTTGCAACAAAAGTGTATTGATGCTTCTTTTTTCTTTATTTTCTTTTTGTGGTTTGTCGGTGTTTCCTTTTGACCATTTTCTTATTCCCTTTGATTTCGCATCCACTATGAAGATGACAGGAAACTACTTCGCATCTGGTGATGTATATTGATGCTTATTATGAGTGAAATTATGGTTTTTGTTATAAATAGTTAGTCTCATTAATTTTACAATAAATAAGGAAAGTTTTTTTTTTGGTTAAGAAGTAAGGTATTAAATATCGATGGTTTCAAAAATATTTGTGGTCTAAAAATTTGGAAATATATATCTAAGAAAAATTATCGATATCGATAAAAACTAGATTGAAAAAACAATGGAAATGATAAGAAAAACATGGAAATTTGTTATGATTTTTTTATTTTTTATTTATAGCACAAGTGATTAGGGGAGGTTGGTTTACACACATATTCATTGGGTGTCTGGGTGTCTCGAACTTTTGCCCACATGAGTTGAGGTGTAATAGCTCAATCAACTGAGTTATACCCCATGGACGTAATGAAACTTTTAGAAGATGTTCAAATAGTCAATTATTTTGACACAAAAGAATAGAATGAAATATATTGCATAGTGAGTTTGAGTGATTTAAGGTGATTATATTAAAAGCTGACAAACAATGTGAATTATAATAAGATTATCAAATTCAATTCAGGTTGTATTGAGACTATCAAATTTAGCTTATCATCCTATATCCGATAAACACCAAATTTTGGATCCTACTGATTTTATATCCTAATGAATATCCTAAGAGCATCCTATGTGCGTGTATCTAGTGGGAATTAAAATATGATGGGCTTTCTCTTGTTTTTTTAAAATCAATTTTTGCTTAAATTTGACCTAAATTCTGTGAATTAGGCCATTTTGTTGATAAAGGAATCAATATTATTTTTCAAAATTTTTAGTGCAGAATTGTTTCTAGACACAAAGGGTTTGCATTCAAATTTTTATGTAACTGCTAGGTGTTTAAGGACTCATGTCCTAGTTAATACTGATCTAATTGCTGACTAAATTTGAAGTTTGAAATGTAAAATGAAAAAAGTTATAATTGTAAGTAAGTGGTGGTTGTTTCTTAGAAGACAAGCGCAGCCATGAGCAATGTAGTGGGGCATAAACTGTCTTAAAAGCAGAGTGCCGAGCACTTTCCTCTACCAATTTCGCATAAATAGTAACAACTTTTGCACTTTGTCATCTCCAACCTTGCAGGCTCATAATTTGAGTCCGCAACTTTATTAATTTGTTTAAGAATGATTAACCCTAATTTTTTTTTTCATGTTAATTTTTTTTGACATTATTTTTATTTCCACATTAGTGATTTAATTTTATAAACATTTTAACCTAAAAAAATTAGAATTCCAAAACATAATAGAATTTCACTTAAAAATTAAAACAAGTACAACACCATATGTATGTCTGGAATAAATTATAAAAGTAGTTGTGTGATTTTAATAAATTATGTGATTTATCATTGAATTTAAAAAAATAAACGACAATCATAAATAAAGATAAATGATAATTATAAATAAAAGGGAGAAAATATAACAAAAGAGAAAGGAAAATAAAGAGATAATTATAAAATATAGCTGTTGGAATTATAAATAATTATATAAAATTAAAAATTAAAAAAATTTAAAACTGTCCCTCTGGTCTAGCTCTAGAGAGACCCAGCAGAGGTAGGGGCTCTTGGGGCCCAGAAAGACGAAGACTTTTCACTCACATGATTCTTCTCGCCACTGACATTGCCACCCAGAGACTCTTGGACAATAAATCACTATAATTTCCAACCCTTTCAGCCTGTTCAATTTTCACCAATATGGATCTAGACACCACTCAATTATTAGGAACTCCTTCCCCTTCTTCTTCTTCTTCTTCTTCTTTCACCAATTCATGGACCCACGATGTGTTTCTCAGCTTTAGAGGTGAGGACACACGCTACAATTTCACAGACCATCTGCACAAAAATTTGGTCCAGAGGGGCATCAGAACCTTCATAGATGATGAGCTCCCAAGAGGAGAAGAAATATCACAAACACTTGTCGATGCAATTGAAGGATCGAGGTGTTCTGTCGTCGTATTCTCTGAAAATTATGCATCCTCCAAGTGGTGCTTGGATGAACTCGCTCATATCATGCAATGTAGAAATTCGAAACAACAAATGGTTTGGCCAGTTTTCTACAAAGTGGATCCCTCGGATGTACGGAATCAAAGAGGTAGTTATGGTGAGGCACTTGCTAACCATGAACGCAAATTCGAAGACGAGAAACTTACAAACCATGATGAAAGAAAATTCCAAGACAATATGAAGAAGGTTCTGAGATGGAAGGAAGCTCTTACAAAAGCTGCACACTTGTCTGGGTCGCATTACTTGGAGGGGTATGTTTTTTTCTTTTCTGAATGCGGTATATTTCTATCTTTAATATACATTTAGGATCCGGAGGCTCTGTTTTAATTTCAATTTATTTATCCCAGGGTTGCAGAATATGTTATTTTAACTGTAAAAATGTGATGGACATTTGGTAGAAATCTCTAGAGTAATAATTTAGAATCCCAAAGTGCTACAATAGCTATCAGATATCTAAGATAATTGTAGTAGAATCTAGAAGAGGGTATCTACTGGACTAAATGACCAAGTCGGTGAACTATGCCGGCTAAACAAATAGCCACAAACATATAAGGTGTTTTTGTAGAATGCTCTAGTCTAGAGCAAACCGCAGCTTTTCTAATCTTTTGTTTTTCCCACATGTTCTCAGCCATCAAGCAATATAAATTCAAGATATGCAATCAAAAGTACCGAAAATGAATAGAAACTACAGATTAGATCGATATATTTTCTGCACTTCATTTCTCAACCACCAAACGACAAATTCGAGATCTTGAAGCAAAATGAGCAAAAATAGACAAAAGACAACATGAAAATCTTGTACAATAGTAACATGTTTGATAAACAATTGTTTAGTAAGGAGAAATCGATCAGAAAAGCGATTAAACGATAGAGTGAGAAAATAGAAGGGGAGTGTAAGACAGAAGAAGAAAACCATGTTTGATGTACTTTCCCTAACTTATTTATTTGGGTTTAATATTGTGAAAAAAATCATAACTTCTCAAATCAACCCATCCCTGCCATACACAGCCGCACTCCCGCCTCTCTTATGACCCTCCCTCCACCTTCCTCTATCGCATCCACCACCTCTCTCTCTCTCCAGAGGCAATCCCACCTAGAGGATTTGAAAAAATTAAGCCTATGGTATATGATAACATATGCAAAAAACATATATAAAATGTTGTCCATAAATTACATAATTTCCAAGAACAAAATACTAAATTGATTTATTAGTCTTAGATACCTACCAAACAGCTCTTCCTTATGTTGATTATAAAACCCTCATTTAATTATTCTTCTTGATAAATGTAAGACAGTTATGGATATTGAATCCAACTTTTAACTAGTAAACCGAGATTTTAATAAGAAGAAGTGTCTAGACATATCAAATATCATGATGAAGTAACTTCATCATCTAAAATTCACGACATAATTTACACTAGTATTGAGTGGAGCACTTCTTTAAAACATATATAGAAAAATCCCCTTTTATTTAAATGTTGTTTGTGCTTAAAATTGGCAGCCGTGAAACTGAATTTATTCAGAACATTGTCAACGAGATTTCCTTACATGTATTACATGATACCCATATCAATGTGGCAAAATACCAAGTCGGAATAGAGGCTCGTGTACGAGATCTTCATAAAGTTTTAGATGTTGACGGAAATGATGTTCGCATGGTAGGAATATGGGGGAATGGTGGAATAGGAAAGACAACTGTTGCTAAAGCTGTTTATAACTCACTGGCCCATGTGTTTGAAGGGAGTTGTTTTCTGGAAAATGTAAGAGAAAGATCAATACCATATGGAGGCCTAGTCGACCTACAAAATCTTCTTCTTTATGAGATTCTAAGGGGAAAGGAAATAAAGGTTACCAGTGCCGATCAAGGAATCAGTGTGATAAAGGAAAGGTTGAGTCATAAAAAGGTACTTGTAATTGTAGATGATGTGGATCATTTGGACCAGTTAAACAACATAGTTGGAGGTTGTGATTGGTTTGGTTTGCGCAGTAGAATTATCATAACGACAAGAGATAAGCATTTGCTAACTTCTCATCAAGTTAGTATTATATACAAGGCCAAGAAATTAAACTTTGGTGAATCTCTTGATCTCTTCATTAGTTGGAATGGTGGGAGAAATAAAAATTTGGACGATGATTATGTGAAAGCTGCAGAAACTGCGGTGAAGCATGCTCAAGGTCTTCCTTTAGCTCTCAAGGTTTTAGGTTCTCATCTATGTGGTAGAAGTATAGATGAGTGGCATGATGCATTGGATGGGAATCTGCACTCGGACATTAAAAAAACTCTCAAAATAAGCTATGACGCATTGGAATATTCGGTGCAAGAAGTTTTCCTTGACATAGCATGTTTCTTTAATGGTAGAAAGGTGAACCATGTGATACCGATCCTGGAAGGTTGTGACCTCAAGCCTAAGTATGCCATTAAAGTACTCGTAGACAAGGCCCTCATAAACATTGAACAAGGCGTAATTGGGATGCATGACTTGCTTGAAGAATTGGGTAGAGGAATAGTTTATCAAGAGTCGCCAAATGAGCCTGGTGAACGTAGCAGATTGTGGTTTCACGAGGATGTTTATCGTGTTCTAACAGAAGGAACAGTAAGTCTGTGTGTGTGATGTGTACACTTGCATTTTTATTTGCTAAAGAGCTTTGAATGTTAACACTACTGCTTTTTGATAATAGGGAACAAACAATATTAAATGTTGGAATCCCACATCGGTGGGGTGAAAGAAAACAAATGGGTTTAAATAGAATTACCACACTCTAACTAATACCGAGGCCTTTTGTGATAAAAACCTCACACCTGACGGATTGGGCGGGTGGTAAAGTGGGGACAGTATCGGTGTTGTTAGAGTGGGACCCAACGGGCAGATCCAAATTTTCAACA